ATTCTCGGCTAACTTTAGAGCCTGGTAACTAATAAGTTAATGAGAATGAACAATAGTTATACTTGGTCATATTAATAATAATGTAATAATAAGAAACAAAGGTTCAGGTATGCATTCACACTATCATACAACACAAACATAAAAAAGCCTTTCTGTCACTCCATGTTTCTTTATGTAGAAGGTGATGGTCCTTGGTGTATTCAGGAAATTCTTTTTCCTGGGTGGATCTCTGTGTTATTAGAATCAATGAGCTAAAAAACACGGTTGGCAAGGGTAGATAGGATGTTAGAGAGAACACCAGGCTTGAGAGAATGTAGCCTTTCACAAACTAAACCAACTTATATTCCTGTGCTGAGCACACAGAGACCAGCTTCATCCCTTCAGATTTGACAGGTGTCCTGAAATAAGGTTTTGTTTAAATTCCTACCTTCACTGTCCAGGTGACCAAAGCAACCTATGCTGTGACAAATATCCTGTCTATGAATTGTAATTGTTGAAGAGTTAAGAATAAGACAAGGTACTTGCTCTCTAGAAGAAGTCCTATCACAACCCTGAGACCCTAGCTCACAGGTACTCATAGAGCATTTGATAGCAAAGCAAACATGTGTTGAATAAGTCCTAATGCATTAGTTCACTGGGTCCAAACCTGAGCCAAATGATAAGACCAAAGTTATTCTGGACCATATATTCATTCAAGCAAGCTATCATAATGGGTGAAAAATGAGATCCAAAGTCCTGAGCTACCTCTGTCTATACAAGCAAAATTTTAATAGAAGCCTCAATACTAAGTGGCCAAAGTAAATTTAGAAACCTAAGATAAAAGTTGGGACCATAATTTATCATTGTGCACATGGACCTATTTCTCCAAAAGTTTAAGAAGTAAAGAATGGGCTGGGAAGTAGGCTCAGTTTAGAGTGCTTGCCTCGCACACATGAGGCCCTGGGTTTGATTCCTCAGCAGGAAATAAGCAGAATAAAGCCAGAAGTGGCACTGTGGATCAAGTGGTAGGGCGCTAGCCTTGATCTGAATTGCTGAGGGACAGCACCCAAGCCCAGAGTTCAGGCCCCAGGACCTACCAAATAAATAAATAAATACAATAAAAAGAAAAAATAAACCTCAATCACTAAGGCAAACATTAGGTAATATTCCTCAAGGGTTATTCAAGGCCACCACAACAACCACAAGAACTAGGATAATTTGAGAAAAGGTAAGATTTCTTGAAGCTCTCATGGCCTTTGATATCTGGCAGCCTTGGATTTGAATTCACTGTTGCATTGCTGACATCAGGGAGGAGTAATGGAAGTCCCCAGAGCTTCAGCCAAAGACAGGAATACTTATGTCTCAGTGGTAAGCAGAGCATTGTTGTATGTAGTCATTACCACACAGACTGACTTGCCAAAATTGTACAGAATTCTGGGAATGGGCTTCCCTTCTTGGTAACTGTGACTTCAGTCATTATTCACAAAAACATCTTACCTCCACTTGGCTGTCCCAGTCCAGAGAACTGTTAACCACAATATTAGGGAAATCTGGCCAGACCTAAGTACAGAAAAAAAATTTCAACAGGAATGCACCAAACACTTTCCTATACAAAGTATTCCCTAAGAAGTCACAAAACATGGGTCTAGGGACCATATAATTTGTTTAGTATGTACAGTTGATCTAAAGCAAAGTGGATTCCACAGAGCCTTTAGATCAACACATAGTGATTGAAGTATTAAAACTACAGATCTAAGATAAGATCTCAATGAAAAAGGACAATATACTCAAGGAAAAGATATATTAACATTGTCCCCACCCCAGGAGAGGTGTTAGTGGATCACTCCTTAGATCATACCTTGCCCCAGACAATTCCTCCATCATTGGGAAACTTGATGAAGACATCATCCTCCACACCACGAGTGAAGGCAGGATAGGGCTCTGTCTCATTGCCAGAAATGGCTGGGTCCTGAAACCAAGGCACAAATCAGACAGAAAGACACATGCAGAGAATGGCCAGGGACACAACACAGCTCTTCCAAACACATCTTCCTTACATTATACTTGAACTTTAAAGTGACTGAGATGCTGCTAAATGCCTTTTCCATCCAACTTCAACCTTTCCTTGTGTACCATGGAAGGAAACACAGTGTGGGCCTTCCCCACCCATTCCCCTTCATCCTCCCAGAGGCCACAGATTCCCACGGGCTCTGACCAGAATGAGGATGACCCGCATGCCAGCGGCCTTCATGCGATCGATCAGGGCGGGCAACCCAGAGAACTTGGGGCTGAGGGTGAAGTCCA